CCCTTGTTGAAGGGTACAACACCAAGTTCACTAATGAACTTACGAATCCAAACTGCCTCCTTAGCTGCTTCAGAAGCTGCCAAGTATTTGGCTTCAGTTGTAGAATTTGCAGTGGTGCTTTGCTTAGCACTCTTCTAACTAAACGCTCCTCCATTTAGGAAGAATATGTACCCTGAATGCGACTTGGAGTCGTCTCTGTCAGTCTGGAAGCTCGCGTCAGTATAACCTTCAACAACCAAATCATTACTACCACCATAGACTAGGATAGTATATGCTAATATTAATCCATTATCTAATAGTCCCTAAAGTCTTCCTTTTCAACTTCACCCAATCTTTATCATCTATCTTTTCAGGTTTTGTTGGTTTAACAGTGCTACCATTAGTCTTTGTGGTTGTTTATATTGGTTCATGTAAGTCTTTACAATACAACAAATCTTCCATCATAGTCTCCAAATTGAATAATTAGTTTATGTCAATTTAACCATCGAACTACTACTACTCGACTTTATACTGTTACAAATTAAATTCCGACTCTGATACCAAGTTGTAGGGATCGGAAGGGGGTCACTACAACACCCACTATGTCGCCAAAAGACAACAATTTTGTCCGGAGATAATTATGAACAAATTAGAGCCCATACCGATGTTCCAACCATCCAAAATGAAGCCCTTGATGTCAAGAATAAGCTGTCAAAATTTGAGCACGATCCAACGGTGGAATTTCCAGCAACCGGCAGTTTACTAAAAACTATCCATAGAAATCCGAAATTGGAAGCTCTTGAAACCCTCACTCTTTTTCTCTAACTTTTGTGCATGTGAATGCTACTCTTAGCTGCTGCTTTTACACCATCTAACTACCCTTATTATTACCAAGGGTTACTAACACAAGCTTACTAAAAAAGCCACAAGAAATTACTCCAAAAGCATCTAAGAGAAGCCACAAAATCATGCCAAATATGGACCAAATAATAAGACTTAACAAGTCCATGATAAGAGCCCATAATACATGTGTCTAAAAGAAATATATGGGTATTGCTAATTAGGCTGGAACCATAACAATATCTTCTTCTTCCTTGTAATTTTCTCTCCTCTGCTCAATGGCATAAATGGTGTCACCCGTTCCTGACTACCCGATCATACTACCACTCTTTCTTCACTCCAAACCAACTAGCACCACCTCATTTCACATCTCCTTTCTCATAGCTTCTCTTTCCTTGAGTTTTTTCTCTTCTTTCATCGATGATAGCATCATCTCTGGTGACTTTTCGGACATAAAATCTAGTGACCTGAATTCTCTTACATAACAATACAACTCACTCTTATTGAAGGTGTTTCTGAAATGGATGTAGTTGGTGAAATGTGACAGGTACTGTGTCAAAAAAAAAAAATCTAACAGGTTTAAGGCAAAATCGTCGTTGATTGTTCTAATGAGAGTTCGATTAAGGTTTGTGAGATTGAGAACTGCAATTTGTTAAAAGATTTGGTTAATTGTTTTGTTGAGATTTTGAAATCTGAGGCTGCTAGGAAAGCTGAGTTGAAGGAGACTCTAATGTGGAAAGAAGAAATTTGTTGAAGATGAATGATTTTTTTTTTTAAGGTTCTTGATTGAAGATAATTGAATACAGAAAATTTGATAAGGTTTTAATTTAGAAATTAATTTGTAATCTAATACAAAGTAGATAAATATTAAGTTAAATTGATATTAATTATATTTAAAAAAACTATCTTAGTTTGATGATATCATTCGTTGTTTGGATTATATTAATAATTGTTTGTATGATATATTTACATGTTATGACTAATGGGCTAGACGACATGATTAATTGTTTGGATGATGTCTTTTAGTGTCTAACCGAAATGATATGATTATTTTGTTAGATGACATATGGTTAATTGTTTGGATGATATCAGTAAGTACTTGGATGTTATCTTTAATTTTTAGGTTGGATGATATAATTGAATGGTTGGATGTCATATTTAATTTTGGAAGATATGATTAATTGAATAGATGAAATGTTTCTATGATATCATCAATTGGTTGGATGATATCATCTATTATTTTTAATGATATCATCCATTGTCAGGATGATATCATCTATAAGCTGGATAATATCCTATATTATTTCTAGGATATCTTTTATAAGTTGGATGATATTATCTATATCATCCATTGCTTGGATGATATAATCTATTAGTTATATGATATCATATATAGGTGGATGATATTATCTATCGTGTTTATGATATCATCCATTGCCTGGATGATATCATCTATAGGCTAGATGATATCCTCTATTGGTTCTATGATATCATCTATAAGCTGAATGATATCATCTATTGTGTCTATGTGGTATCATACATTGCCTGGATGATATCATTTATAGGCTAGATGAATCCGCTATGGATTCTATGATATCATTTATGAGTTGGATGATATCATTTATTGTGTCTATGATATCATACATTGCATGGATGATATCCTCTATTGGTTTTATGATATCATCTATAGCAGGTTAAATGCATGCTATTCTCTATTAGTTCTATGATATCATCTATAAGCTGGGTTGTTGTTTTGAGGCAAGCCTCACACAATAGCTTCTCAATGTGAAATCCCCAATATAATGATTACTCTCTCCTTTTTGTAATAATTGAAATACTTTCCTTATATGTATATTTTATAATAATTGCAATATTAATAGGAAGAAAAAAATGATTTCATTAATAAAAGATAGTCAAATAGCATAACATTTTATTAGGTACAGACTTAATACACAATTTTATATATATATATATATATATATATTATTTTTTATATATATATATATATATATATTTTTTACTTCGTGTTATTTGTTTCCCCTACTCCCTCCATGTGTTTTTTCTAAGTGTTACAATTACCAAACGTGGCTATGTTTTTTAACTGTTACACTTTCATTTTTGGTATAAAATTACATTTTAATATTATATTTTCTCTCCTCTCATGATCCCATTGTGCTATGTAAATAGTGTAAATTTCCAGTAAAAAAATTTATATTTATCTTTTTTTATTTCTAATGGAATAGGGATGGGTGATTTCATTAAATAATAATAGTCATTGGCACTTACAATCATCTCTTAAGAAATCTAAATTCTCAATACAAGTATTTAACACCTCTGAACTAATGGCATCGCTTCTGAACTGCTCCCGAAATTTTTTTTATGTCTTTGCATCGTTCTTGATGGAGCTCCATTGATGTATAGTTGAGAAATTGATAAAACTTGATTGGTCATCAAGATCGGCAAATTTGCAAGACGAATCTTCTTAATTTGCACTCTTAAACCAACACACCCGCAATTCCACAAATTTGCAAGACAAATCTTCCAAATTTGTGTCCTTCCACACACGAAAAACAAACAAACAAACAATACTCAAAATCCCACCATTAGGAAACCGATTAAACCCTACTCGGAGAGACTGACTATACTTCCACCGTTTTTTAATTATTGCACCACTTGTCTTTTAAGAAAGTTTCACAAATATTGCACCATATCTATTTTAGGAAACAAAATATCTCTGTTCATAATGCAAATACCCAATATACCCCTAATTTTAACACTTTATTTTTTAGTTTAAGTTTACATCACATGGATAATTTTGTATTTCTAACCCTTTCTCTTTTGTTTTACTACTATATAAAATAGTGGCCCAACATGTATGGTGTAGTCATAAAAGAACGGAGGAAATATTTATCTTACGGCTATTTCACCAAATGCCACTGAGTAATTTCGAAATTCACCAAATGCCATCGAACTTTTCCAAATTCACCAAATGCCACCGAGTTTTAACAAAATTCACCAAATGCCATTAATGACTGACAACCGTTAGTTGACCGTTAGTGGACCCCATCACTTGCCACGTGTCACTTTCTAATTGGTCCATTTTTAAAAAAAAATTTAATTAAACAAAATTTATAAAAAAAAAAGTTGAAAAAATTTTAAAAAAAATGGAAAATAGTAAAATACTTAAAAAAATTAATAAAATAAAAAAAAAACAAAAAAAAAAAATCTGCTGCCACCACCAGCCTGCCACCGGCCAGCCCACGAAGCCGCCGTCGCCGCACCCTTTTGCCGCCGAGGCTAGAACCGGCAGGCGCGCCGGCCGCCGGCGACCCTTCCCCTAGCCTTATCCCGTCGCAACCCCCTCCCCTAACCCATCGCAGCCCCTTCCCCTCCCCTTTCCCGTCGTATCCCCCTCCCCTTTCCCGTCACAGCTCCCCTCCCCTTCACCTCTCCCCGTCGCAGCTCCCTCCCCTTCCCCTCCCCTTTCCCGTCACAGCCCCCTCCCCTTCGCCTCCCCCCGTCGCAGCCCCCTCCCCTTTCCTGTCGCGACCCACCGGCGAATCCCCAGTCCCCACTGTATTTCGGGGTGGTGGAGGAAGGGGGGTGGGGTTTTGCGGGTTAAGGGGTTGCAACGGGGTAGGGGAGGGAAGGGGAGGGGTCGCCGGAGGCCAGCGCGCCTTCCGGTGCTAGCCCTGGCGGCAGGGGTGGTGGTGGCTAGGGTTTTGGGGTGGGTAGTCATGGAGGAGGTGGTGGTGGCTAGGGTTTTGGGGTGGGCAGTCACGGAGGAGGTGGTGGCTGCCACCTCTTAATTTTTTTTTTTTTTTTGTAATTTTTATTTATTTTAATTTTTTTTTTACTATTTTTAAAAGTTTTTAATTTTTATTTTTGTTATTTTTTTAATTGTATTAAAAATATATATATTTTTTTTAAAACGGACCAATCAGAATGTGACACGTGGCAAGTGGTGGGGTATAACTAAAGGTCAACTAACGGACATTGACGGTCAACTAACGGAAATGACATTTGGTGAATTTTGTTAAAACTCGGTGACATTTGGTGAATTTGGAAAAGTTCGATGACATTTGGTGAATTTCGAAATCACTCAGTGACATTTGGTGAAATAGCCGTAAAAAAAAAAAAAAAAAAAAAAAAAAAATCACTTTAGAGTTCGGACGTGACTTTTCCCTTTATTTTCACTCTCTTTCTCTTCTCTTTTCCCCTTTACTTTCCCTCTCATCCCATTCAATTTCCCTTTTTTCCCACCACCACCATTTCCCCCGTGACCATTATCTCTCTTCACCTCCATTAAACACCACTCCCTTCTTCTCATGTTTTCCCCTTCTATACTCTTCCTCCTTCACCACCACCACTCTCCATCAAATTATGCGCTCCCCGCAATCTCATCTTCGCAACGGCGAACCCGATAACCTCTCTCCTCCACCCCCACCACCGCGTAACAACCACAACAATTTCCCTCCTTCGCCTCACGATATCCGTTTCCAGTCTACCCTTTCAGTTCACAAACTTAAACGATTTAACTCGTTGATTTTGGTCTTTCGTATTGCTACCTTCGTCTTTTCTTTGTCGTCCTTCGTCTTTATGCTTACTAACTCCCGCTCTTCTCCTCCTCACTGGTTCGATTTTGATGCTTTTAGGTATGTACTCTCCGAGCCTTTCTTTTTATTTTCCGAATAAATTACTTCCTCTGTTGTTTTTTAATTGCAACTTTACTTTAAGTGGACAATGATTCTCTTGCCTGCGTGGCTGCCTGCACATTCTCTTTCGTTGCAATTAAAAAAACAGAAGGAAGTATTTATTTATTTATTTTATTTTATTTTTGGCTTTGGATTGATTGATTTTGAAATTTGAATATTTAGGTTTGTGTTGGCGGCGAATGGAATTGTAGCGGTGTATTCATTGGTGGAGATGGTGGCGGCAGTTTGGGAAATAACAACGGGTGCTACACTTTTTCCTGAGGTTTATCAAGTTTGGTTCGATTTTGGTCATGATCAGGTTTGTTTTCGTGTCGTTTTCTTAGGGCCGCATATATCATTTTTCTATTAATAGGAACTTGTGAACATTTGCTGTTGATTGAAATCATTTGAATGTAGTTATATTGTTGTCGTAGTTGTTTAATGTGGGGAATATTGGGTCATGCTCTGGATTTTTATTGGTTTTTGGTCCATTTTTTCTCTCCGCTTTTTTTCTAAAATTCAAAATTTGAATGTAAGACATAACACTGTTGTAGTATTAATTGATTTGTGATCATTTGTGGCAATAATTGAGACTTTATCTGTGGATTGTCAATGCAAAATTGGAAAGTTGGTGTACGATAATTTTATTTATAAATATTACGAGAACTAATTAATATTGCGAATTTTGTTACACGTATCTCTTAGAATTGTTGATCAGAATTATACTAAAAACTAGGGGTGGGACTTTTCAAACCGAACCGTGAAACCGCCCGTTACCGAACCGAACCATCACGGACCGATCCGTTTATAAACCGATAAATATAAACCGAAAACCGAACTGAACCGTTCAATATCAAACCGAAACCGAATTGAACCACTGAATGTCAACCCGTTACGGACCGTAAACCAATAACAAACCAAACTGCGCAAATCCGAACCGAAACGAAACCGAACCGAATGGTTTATAAACCCGTTAATGACCCGAACCGTTTATAAACCAAAATCGTTTAAACCGAAAAAAAAAACCGTTTAAACCGAACCATTTGTAACCCGCTAACCGGTTAAACCGACTCGTTTATGAACCGAAACCGTTTAAACCGCACGTATAAACCGAACCGTTATAATCCGCTAACCGTCGAAACTGAACTGCTATAACCCGTTAAACCGTTAAAATCGAACTGTTTTCGAATCGCAACCTGTTTAAACTGATCCATACAAACTGCTTAATTCAAATTGAATTATTTACAACCTAAATGGCTAAATAGTAAATACAATTAATGTTAATAAATGTAGATCTAATCAAACGGCGTAGGTTTATACAAAGGTTTATATCACCTAGATCTAGGCCAACGACATTATTAATATCGTTTCAGATTACTTATTTATTTTAATTACAAGATATATCATTTGTATCATTTTCATTCCAGTAATAATGCTAGTCCACCCAAATTATCTTCATCGTTCCTTCCTAAAGATATTCATGATCATCCAATAACACTCAAAGCCTCAAAGGTAACATAAGATTGGAGATGTATGAGATTGCGTTACACAAGTGGCATAAGCATTAGAATATTACTGTACTAGTCAATAAGGCGTACAATCATTCACATTATCACTTTATAAAACTTTCTTATACAAGTATTTTGTAAAGGGAGGACTAAAATGTTTATAAAACACATTTTTTTAGCTTTTCTTAAATTAAACCAGATATTAAGTAAAAGAATTTTAATAAATACGGAGGCATCCCAAATCTGTAGCCACAATTATTTCATAACATTACCACAAATCCAGCAGATAAATAACATTAAAATTAGAGTAATATCAACAAGCAATTAAAAAAAGTCACCATTTTCATTAATTAAAATGCACAATACATATACCAATACATAATGAAACTACTATCATTACTACCCAGATTAGATTTCAGATTTATCAACTGAAACATCATCAAGTTTAGGGTTGCAAAAAATGATACATGATAAGATGAAGGGAGGAGTGAGAACGTGAGTGATTTGGGAGCAGAATCTTGAAGCAGAATCTTGAAGCAGCAGCACAACACCCAAGAGCAGAGGAAATAGCAGCAACAAGCAGGAACCAGCACACGCAATAACAAATCAGCAACTTATCAGAATCAAGGAATAATATAAGCAGAAGGGACTCAGCAGGAACTTATTTTTGTTTTTCAAAATTGCTCTCAGATTTACGTTTATCGTATCATCACTGAGCAATGGCTGTTTTAACTTAAAACTTGAAAAATGCTGCCAGCAAGTACATATACATTGAAGTCTCAACATAAATGACAAGGGCAACGATGATTCAAGAAAAATTAAAACAACAAGCATAAGAAACAGCAGCAACAAAACTTATCATAAATTCATAACACAAAAGGCAGCAACACAGCACCTCAAGCTGGTAGGAGGCAGGAACCAGCTCATGCAGGCAACAATATAGGCAATAACAACTCAGAGACAACAACCAAAAGGCAAAAGCATTACCAGCAGGCAGCAGCTCATAACAAGTTCAAGCAACTTCAAAATTATAGCTTTTGTTTTTTAAAATTGCTCTTAGATTTACATCACTGAGCAATGGTTGTTTTAATAAAAACTTGAGAAATGCTGCCAGCAAGTACCAAAATACATTTAACTATTTAAGTCTCAACATAAATGACAAGGGCAACGATTTTAAAAGTCTTGAAAAATGCTGCCAGCAAGTCTGAAAATAAATGACAAGGGCAACGATTTTTCAAGATAAAATAAACCACAATGAGACACAAATACCAGTTATGCAGATGAAGCACTTTCAGCTTCAATCTCTTTACCAATAAGGAGGACGTCTTCCTCAACATCCGCTTGATAACCACGACACTAATTTTGGGTGGTAACCAATGCCTCAACATGCTTTGGCAAAAGTTTACCCCTATATTTGTTCAAAATACGACCACCCAAGCTAAAAGAAGATTCAGAGGCCACCGATGTAATAGGAATGGCCAAAACATCCCTTGCCATATTAGCTAAAATAGGAAGAGAAGAAGCTTGAGATTCCCAGTACTTGAGAACGTCAAAATGTTCCCCTTGAATTAATCGCGAACGAGGTCCATTCAAATATGCCTCAAGATCAGCCAGAGGGCATCTAGTTGAATCATCACATTCGTCATCAACCTCATGCAACTGAAACAGATTTTTTTATTAAAAGTTAAATTATGACATTACAAATAAAAATAGAAGACTACCATTAATATTGAGTATATTGTATAACATAAATACCGTGAAAATATTTTGAGATCTCAACGTGCGATTAGAATTTTCAGATTGAGCTGTGTTTGAAGAGGCAGGATTTCTGCAGCTTGTATTAGATGCAGTAGAATAAAATTTATAAAGGTCATAAAAAGCTTCCTTAATCATCATAATCTTTTCGTCGCATGCCTCATCATTATACAATGAGGGTTCAACATATGTCTCACTCGAAACAACTTATAACGAGGATCAAGAGCAATAGCAACTGAAAGTATCAAACTATAATCCTCCCAATAACTCTCAAACTTCTCAAGCATAACTGCTGCCATGGGTGCAAGTTTAGGGTCTTTAAAGGCTTGAGTAATAGCGTACTCAATTTTTAAAACACTAACAAAATACAAATTAGAAGTGGGATATTCGGTACCAGAAAATAACACAGTTATATCATTAAATGGCTGAAGGAAATCACAAATTTTTTGAATGGTATCCCATTCATCAGCATCAAGTCTATAAGAAAAACCCAAAAACCTACTAGTATATAGAATCAAGGCATCCTTAGCTTCTAAGGCTTTTCGGAGCATTGTATAAGTGGCATTCCAACGAGTCACAACATCGAGACATAACTTACCATTAAAAGCAGAGTCTAACTCAGACAAAGCATTCTCAAATTGAGTTAATCTAGAATCAGAAGCATCAATATATTTAACAACCTCACGCAATTTTTCAACACTTTCATGAACTTTTTTTAAACCTCTTTGAACAATAAGATTTAAAACATGAGCTGAACATCGAATATGAAAGAATTTCCCATTACAAGGAAGAGGAGAGCATTGCATTAATTCTTTTTTCAAATATTCAACCATAACATCCATAGAACGAGCATTATCAACGGTCATTGAAAAAGCCTTACCTTGAAGGTTCCACTCTTTAATCAGTTTAAACACAAACTTTCCAACCTCAACACCAGTATGGGGAGGGCCACAATATCTTAAATTTAAAATTTTAGACCTAAGAGACCAATTGTTATCAACATAATGAGCAGTCAAAGTGAGATAGCCTCGGTTAGTACATGCAGTCCACAAGTCACATGTAAAGCTAACTATACCAGAAACATTAGCCAAAGACTCATGCAACAAGGATTTATATTTATCATGCTCAGCAATAACATACTTTAACATAGTTTTTCTACAAACATGCTGCACCTTAGGATTCAAATATGCATGAAGTTCCCTAAGATATTCATGCTCTACAATATTTTAAGGATATACATGGCAGATTATAGCTTTAGCAAACTTTTGTAAATAAGTTTTTTGATCAAATTGTGATTCGTTACCGGACTGGAGACCATGCTTTTCCAAACACGCATTAATATGAGCTCTACAAGTTGAAGTACCCGCTTTACCAGGTGCTTTATATTCTTTGCCACACAAATTACAACGAGCATAATCTACCTTTTCATTACCTATCGTCTTTACAAAAAAAGTGTAATGCTTCCATATACTTGCGGTTCTTTAACGTTTATTGACAGAAGGATTGATAATGCCGGTATTACTAGCATCATCATCCGGGACAGAGGCAGCTTGAGAGCTAACAGTATCAAAATTTGATTGCCTCTCATAGTCAAATTCATCATACTCGCGAGACATGACTGAAACAAAAAAAAAAAAACAGCATTTATAAGTACCAAATTAAGTGACATATTCTACTAATAGTGAGCAATTAAGCATGCATTGTCTCATGTGACTGACATATGTGTACATTTTAAATACTAACTTTAAGCCAACTTTAAGCCAATCATACAAGTATACATTTTAAGCATGCATGATTTCCCTGGTAAGTCATTTTTTTCAGTAAGGCATAAGGACCCACAATTGAATTTCAATGGATAAATTCATTCTTGAGTACAAAATATGCCAATTATTACAAGTATGCAATTGACAGTATGGTCAACCATCATTTTTTATGGAGTATGGACCAAAGCATGAAGCACAACTGCACAAGTATTCCAATAAATAAACAATGCATGTATTCCAACAATAATAATCACATAATCTGAACAACCCATCATCATTACTTTTAAATTGAGCATAATAAACAACAAAACAGCACAAATCTACCATTTTCCCGTAAAAAACAAAAATACAATCAACAACAGATTTTAGGCATATTTCGACTAAATTCAAGCAAGAACAACAACAATTATCAAATACAAAAACAGAAAAACTGTATTAAAAAAAAACGAAAAGGAAAAAGTAATTACCTTTGACGGCTTGAAGGAGATTTGAAGATGGAGAACTGCCTGAACTGGAGATCAAAAGAAAAAATCAAGAATGTAGATTATCAGAACTTGAAATAAAAAAAAAAAACCGAAACGAAAACGAAAAAAATCGAAAAAATTAACAAAAAAATTACCTTGAGGTTTGACGGCTTGAAGGAGAGGAAGATTTGGAAAAAAAAAAACGAGAATGGAAAAGTCAAAAATCAGAACTTTAGATCCAAAACAAAAAATGAAACGAAAACAAAAACCCTAAATAAAAAAAGTAAAAAACCGAAACGAAAACGAAAAAAAATCAAAACGAAAACAACAAAAATTAACAAAAAATTACCTTGAGGTTTGACGGCTTGAAGGAGAGGAAGATTTGAAAAAAAAAACGAGAATGGAAAAGTCAGAAATCAGAACTTAGATCCAAAACAAAAATGAAACGAAAACAAAAACCCTAAATAAACAAACCGAAACAAAAACGAAAAAAATCAAAACGAAAACAACAAAAATTAACAAAAAATTACCTTGAGTTTTGAACTTTTGACGGCTTGAAGCCTTCAAATTGAAGGAGAGGAAGATTTGAAAAAACAAAAAAACGAGAATGTAAAGCGAGAAATCAGAATTGTAGATCCAAAACACAAATGAAACGAAAACAAAAACCCTAATTAGGATTTTTAAAAGTTGAGAAGTTGAGATTCTTGAGAATTTCAGAACGAAAGAGTGAGAAACTGAGAAGTTAGAAAGAGAATCTATGATAGATTGAGAATAGAAGAGTGACTGAGTGAGTAAAAGTGTAAAACGGCTGAATGGTTGATAGAGTGGGTTTTTTTTTCTAGGTTTAGGTTTTAATTGTTCAGTTGATTTAACCGTCCATATTCAATCTCAACATCTAACCGTTCATTTTTTTTTGTAGATTCCAGAATATTCATCTAGATCTAACGGTCTAGATTTTTCTTTGTGCTTTTCTAGGTCTTTTTGACCGTTTTTTTTAATTATTTATTATTATTATTATTATTTTGAGGGATTATTATTATTATTATTATTATTATTATTATTAATATTATTATTAATATTATTATTATATATTATTATTATTGTTAGTATAATTATTTGTTAATATTATTATTATTACTAGTTTACTACTACTATTATTATAATATTATTATTATAATAATAATTATTATTATTACTATTATTATTATTATTTATTATTATTATTATTATTATTATTATTACTATTATTATTATTATTAGTTTATTACTTATAGTTATAAATTGTAAGAAAAGCAAATGTTTCAAAATTGAAATTGATTCAATACGACATAGTTAATGACTTAATGAGTTAATGCACATCAATATCTGACATCTCTATATGTATATTATATATATCTGTGAGTCTGTGACTGTGTATCAGTATATATAATAAACTAATAACTTAATAAGTAATAATACTAATAACTAATAAAGTAATGAAAATCTAACCATTGTTTTTCATGGGCATTCAATCTAACCATTGTATATTTGACTATTCGTACATTAGTATTGCATAATGATTTCATCACCACTTTAATTAGTGATTTCGTGATTTCGTCCATTTAACTTATTAAGTTGTTTGAGTTAGTAATCTAAATAAAGTAACAAACTAAATAACGAATCCATTTAATCTCGTGTAAGTTATAATTTATAAGAAATGCAATGTTTGAAAATGGAAATTGATTCAATACGATATTGTTAATGTATATGTAATTATAGATTAATTATTATGTATATCATATCGTACGAATGTACTGTTGGTATCATTATCATACTATCATAAGTATCATTGCCTCATTGAATTATGGGTATGTACTATAATCGATAAACATATTTACATATCTGATTATTAAAACTTAAAAGTTTAAAACACTTGTTGATCAATCTAATTGAATACTTGTACATTCTTAATTATCGATTTATCGTATTATAAGTATCAACTCATTAAATCATGGTCATGATTTCGTCCATTTAACTTATTAAGTTGTTTGAGTTAGTAATCTAAATAAAGTAACAAACTAAATAACGAATCCATTTAATCTCGTGTAAGTTATAATTTATAAGAAATGCAATGTTTGGAAATGGAAATTGATTCAATACGATATTGTTAATGTATATGTAATTATAAATTAATTATTATGTATATCATATCGTACGAATGTACGGTTGGTATCATTATCATACTATCATAAGTATCATTGCCTCATTGAATTATTGGTATGTACTACAATCGATAAACATATTTACATATCTGATTATTAAAACTTAAAAGTTTAAAACACTTGTTGATCAATCTAATTGAATACTTGTACATTCTTAATTATCGATTTATCGTATTATAAGTATCAACTCATTAAATCATAGTCATGACGCGATCTTTAAAACAATAATGAATTCATGACCCAAACCGCTTATAAACCGAACCAACATGATCCAAACCGTTCATAAATCGAACCAATTGAACTGTGTAAACCCTCCACTAAACCGACCCATTTCAAATTGAACCGACATGATTCGCACCGTTTATAAACCGAACCGATATTGACCCGGGTAAACCCGCCCCTAAACCGACCCATTTCAAACCAAACCGGCTTGGTCCAAACCATTTGTAAACCGAACTGACATTGACCCGGGTAAACCCGCCCCCTAAACCGACCCGTATCAAACCGAACCGACATAATCCGAATCGTTTATAAACCGACCCGCTTATGACCCAAACCGAATTTAAACCGCAAAGAAATAAACCGAAACTAAACCGAGCCGTGACTAACCCAAACCAAACCAAACCGACGCGCCAGCTAAACTAAACCGTTTCAATCCGAACCGCTCCAAACCGAAACCGACTCAAACCGAGGTCAAACCGAACCACCAGACCGAAGTCCCACCCCTACTAAAAACGTGTCCGTAAATTGACTTTAAGTTGGCCTTTATCGTAACATTAACGACCAAAACTGTACGGAGTATTGTTTACTCCCTCCTTTCTAAAATGTTGTTTTTATTTTGACCATTAGTTTTGAATAACACCATTTATGTATATAAGGACTAGCGAGTACCGTACGGTGTTAATTGGTTACTATTTCTACTTTTAGGTGATTAACGAGAATTTCTTACATTTAATGATTAAAAATTTAACAAAAATCTTGTTATCAACCACTCACAAAGTCACAAGTTGGTAAAATGGTACGTACTATTGCTAATTGGTATGTAATTGAGTAATTATTACTTAATCAGTTCAGTCTTCTACGAATTCTATTAAAGACGTAATCATTTGCAGAAGAGTGGTTTTTTAATTTATTTTGTGTTGTTTGAATTATCGTCATGCAATTTGTACTATTCCATTTGAAAATAGTTTAGTTTGACTTGTACTCCATTACAAAGACATGTTAGACTTGGACTAGCTGACGTCAAACTTTGACTACCATTTATACACAACCGTTTACTTCAATATACCGTAAATCATGGAGTAGAATTCTTCGGGTCCAAATTTTCTGCTCTACAATTGTTGTATTAGAGTGTCATACCTTTGTTTTGGTTGATTATAATATGTCTTGGTGGGTCATAGTGATAATATATGTTATTTAGACTCGATGTTCGTGTCTGATACGGTATGTCTTCAAGTGTTCGACTAGGTTATTTTATGATAAATTTCCATGATTTTGAACTTAAATGAAGTGTTTAAGTGTTCTACCATGCCTGAGTGTCAAGGATCCAACATAAGTACTTAAAGTGAAGTGAAAAGTTCGAGTAACATATGAAAAGTGTTCGACTTATTCGAGTACCTGTTTAAGTGTTAGACTCGGCTATTTTATGAAAAGTTTCACGATTTTAGCCCAATCTAATGCGTTCGTGTGTTGCACTCATAGTCAAGTGACAAGGAATTGATACGAAGGATATGAGTAACAAAGATAATAACAATCAATAAATAAGAGGCACGTAAGTGGTACATGGATTGTGGGATAAAATCTTTAAACTCGAATCTTTAGTACTCTTTGATCGCAAAACTCAAACTTAGACCATGCTGCTTCTCAAATATCATTGTTGAGGCAAGATAATCTAGCATTAAAGTTAAAGTTTAGCCAAGTGCATGTTGATACCTCAATAAATAGTGCCCTTTGTTAAATTGAGGACTTGACTTCAATTGCAGTTTAGACTGTTTAGTCATTACATAGATGTTAGTATCTTACGCCTCATATTGGTTGCCTTAGCTCTTAATAGACTTACTTATAACTTTACAAGACTATGATAAATTGGTAAACCATTCTTGATGCACAACCTAAATCAATGATAGGGCACAAAATGTTGTTAAAAGGTTTTTAATCCTATATTTTAGGAAACAAACTATCTTGTGGTCATTTGGGGATGAAGATAATAAACTATCAAAAAATGTAACAACTAATTTAACCTCTATGTAAAAACTAATGTTGGCCGGAGGGAATACTTATAATTTCGTAACCTTGGGTTAATACTTGCTGCTGATCACCAATTAAGATTGTTTTCTAAGAAGAGAAAATTGGTAAAATTGAAGTATATGACAACAAATCTCTGAACATTTGATGCAGGTTTTTGCATACATGCTACTATCAGCAAACTCAGCAGGAACGGCATTGGTAAAGACATTGAAAGGTACGGACACGTGTACGGTTACGAGTGCATTCTGTGTGCAATCCGACATATCTATAGCCCTTGGATTTGCTGGATTTCTATTCCTCGGCTTCTCCTCCTTGATGTCTGGTTTTCGAGTTGCCTGCTTTGTAATCAACGGTTCTCGTTTTCATCTTTAATTTCATCTTTTTTTTTCTTCTTTTCACATTTGTATTAATTATTTGTATCAATTATTACTCCCTTAGTTTCATAATATAAGGCATTTCACACTTGATACTAAATTTTGATCATAAATTAGAAAGAAAAAAAAAAAAAAAAAAGCCTATGAAATTTACTTTGTACAAGGAGTGTATGCATTGTATTTCTAATTAATAGATTGCATCAAAAATTATATGATGAAAAATAAGGGAGTAAATGATTTTGTGTATGCTTTATAAATTTTAGATTAGATTAGAATAGAATCTTTAGGTGAGACAGAAATGATTCTGTTCACATTTTCTTTCTATCCTTAGAATCTATTTTTTAGGAAGATTGAAGAGTGGGATGTGCTTAGGACGAGTTGTTGAAAACTTCTTGGTTTGTTGTGCATATGAGGTTAGAATTTGGTGAAGTGAGAGTAGTATATAAAGTTTGTTTTTGCAAAGGGATTTTTGTTCCACCTATTTTTATGCCTTATTTCTTTACTTTGTACACATGAGGTTGTAAATACATTTTTTAAATCTACAAATGTCTAAGTTAGAAATAAATGAAACGGTAAAGTAAGAGATAACTCAATTGGTTAAAGGTTCATGGGATCGATGCTCATTACTCGTCTCTATGGTTCTCTAAACACCTAAAAAAAAAGGAAAAAAAAAGTTATTTTCATTGGTTTTGCAAGGGTTTTGAGATCTTTGACTTAGGCTTCATGATCATAATCCTTTGAAAATGCCTTAACTCCGTTTTATAGTTATATGGGGTCATGATTCATTAAAAAAAATAAAAAATTAATAGTCTAAATTTTGTAGCAGTATATTTATCATTTATACTATTACAAGTCAAAGTTTATAAGAAGTATATTTATCATTTGTATTTGACTTTCCAACATGCCACTTGATTATGAATATTTTTTTTTATTTTGTTTTCTAGGCTAGGGGATTATCAATGTTACAAATTAAATTCTTTTATGTGACCAACCACCCCATTAATTGATGATCGACCACTTCACATATCATAAAACTATCCCTTTGTGCACGCATTGATGTGGATCAAATCATGTTTTTAATAGAGTTTGCGAAATTAGGATACTAACAATTAGGGAAAATCTAATTCAATAAAATTTTGATCTTTTTGACTAAATAAAAAAAAGACCAACAATTATAAATCAATTCGATTTACTCGAACCAACTCACAATTTTTCAAATTTTATTTAACTCAATAACATAATTTCATTAATAAAAATAATAATCCTATTTATAAACATACAATCCCATGGCTAATAGGATAAAAAACTAAAACATAAAAATAAATCATAACGATAATAGATATATCTTATTAAAAGATAAAGTTTGAAATTTAGGAACAAATTGATTCTAATAATCGCACCTTTGGCTGGTTCGCTATTAATAACCTCGAAACACATTATATATATATATATATTTATATATATATATATATATTATTTATATATTTTATATTATATATATATATATATATAATGTGTTTCGGGGTTTTTTGGATGTCCCGCGGGAGAGTTATAACACTAAAACTGGCCTCTGGACATCTGTACCTGCAAAACAACAGAGACTCCTGTTGGTGGGAGTTCCGCCTCATACGATCAAGTTAGAACGTGTTCGGATGTAAAAAGAGCGGAAAGTAAAGGGGATCAGGCTCCTCTTAGGAGAGAAGTGATCATCCGATTATCTGAGATAACCTCGAAATCCGAGCCTTAGCTCTCAAGTAGTGCAATTAAAGTGGAGTTAATGCCCAGCAATTAATGTACACGTGTGTTTTATAATTTTTGAATGATGTTCCTCGGGGGGAACATCTCCCTTATATAGGGTCTCGTAATACGTGCCTAGTACGAGGTTTCAGAAACCTATGACTGACTGGGCTTGCCTAGGTATTTGGGCCGTTAAAGGCCACTTTCCTAGTTGGAAATCTGTCTGCCACGTGTCGTGGCCTGATTGGTCCACCTTGGACCTCTCACGAGGTGACACGTGGGAGACTCTGGTTGGTCCACGTGGATGACACGTGGCAGGATTTCATTGGTCCATGTGGCGGGGTTAAATCCCCTAATCATTTTCCCCTCACAGGTGTGACGTGGCTTGCCATGTGGCACCTATGACAGGTTTCACACTCTGATTGGCCAACGTTTTTTTACCCTTTTTTTTTTTTACTATCCCTTGAAATTCACCCCACTATAAATAGGATATTTCCAAAAAATTTCAGACAGAAATTCTTGACTTGAGAACTTTGTCTTTTTCTGAGAAAGAATACCTGCCACCTGCTACCAGACCGCCTGTTCTTACAATTGTCAAAGATTTTTCCTTCATCTCTAGAGACCAAAGGTAACCGCCTGTTTTTCTTTCGTGCATTCTCTTTGTTTCTTTTTCTTTTTGAAAATGGTTTCCCAAAAGCACACAGCACGGCCTAGGTTAGTGATCAGCCGGTCATCGGGGACGGTTGAATCTAGAACTAGGAGTGCCGACTGCCCCTTGCTGGACCACCTACTCTTTGCGAACTGCCCCAAGCCCAACTGTCTATGTGTCTGTGCAGGACACCATGGCCAGAACTAAGAGAACTGCAAGGGTGACAAACTCAGACGACTCCTCCTTCTATGCGCCTGTCAATGAATTATCTGACGTGCCGCCTGGCGCCCCCAACACCCCTAGTGAATCCATTTTAGAAGAATCAGGGGAGGAGGCTCAAAATGACATGTCGGGCTTTGTTGATCTAGCCCATCAGGCGGACGCTAGGTTCGAGAGCTAAGACAGTGACTTTGAGCCAAGTACCTCCAGCCAGTTCTCTGACGACTCTGAAAAGAGGCACTCTTGGCTAAAGACAGCGAAAGAATCCCTCTGAGTAGAATTGGGAGAAAATTGGGCGGAGCCGTCTGCTACCCGCTGAGAGCAATATGCCGCCTACTATCATCAAGTTCCCGCACACAGGAGAAAAATGATGGCGGATAAAATAGGAAGCTTTAGAGCTAACCATGTCATGGGGCATGGTTATATCCTATGCACGCCGGATGCCGAGGACACTGTAGTATGGCCAGAGAAGTCCAACTACGGGGACGAATGTTTTGGCTGCTATGAGGCGGCTATTAAGGCAAGCCTAAGATTTCCTCTACATTCGGCTGTGGAGTGAATCCTGGACGGATACTAGCTGGGTGTTTGGCAACTGGCCCCAAACTCTTGGTTCAACATATTAGGCTATGTTGCCGGCTGCGAAATGCACCAAGTAAACCCCAGCTTTGAAGCATTTGCCCACATACATTACCTCAGCCGGACCCAAAAAACAAGCGGGACCGGTTAGTACCAGTTGTCTAGCCACAAGGGCTATATGATGACTTTGGGGAAGGAGAACAAGTGGAAAGATTGGAGGAACACTTTCTACATTGTCTCCAGCCCTGACACAGTCAGGAATAAAAAGTTTAACAATTGGAACAGCAACCCACCTTTCCTAACAGCGAATCTGAGCTGTCGCCTGTTCCTTGTAGAGCCAGAGAAGAGATCCTTGATAAAGGCCTCTTCAAAGTGGATATCTAAGCGAACCCCGAGACTGGGGCGAGGGAGTTCGTTCCGCAAAATTATATTCCCAAGTATAACTGGCTATACGATGGGACATATCTGGCCGCCTGTGGCCTTAATGAAGAGATGCCAAGAGGTAGTTGATCGTATGTTCAAGTGTTTTGTAAGACTTGATTGATTTTGTGTCAAACTAACTCTTTGATTGCATAGAAGAAAGCTGCTGCCTAGTACTGCTCAGCCATCTTGGGCAAGCGGTCAACTGAAGAGTCGCCTGCTTTGCAGGCGCCCAAGGTGAACTTCTTTCAACTTTGAACAAGTCTTATTAAGCTTCTCTGTCGCCTGCTTCTTACTTATTGTGGTTATTGTTGTAGGGCAACTTAGCAAAGCCTTCCTCCTCCCTACAACCGGATCCTAATATTAGGAAACAGGCGGCTGGTGATGTGACGACTCCTGGAGGGCCAGGAAGCACGTGGCCTCAAGGCCAGGGAAGAACCCACCTCCAAAATCCCCAATCGTCCCTGAGGGAAATCAGCCTGAGAAGGAGAAGGAGGCGGTTGCTGAAGGTATCAAAGACTTGTTTCCTTTACCTTATCCTTTAAGGGTTAAATTCAATCAACATTCGTCTAGCACCTCTGAAAGCAGTCGGTCTATTGGCTGAATTTACACCAAGTACTTACAGGGTATTAATTGTGCAGATGCCTCTCAAAGGCCGGATCTTGTACAGCTGGCTAAGTCCATGCTGAAAGCCGTCTCCCTTGAGGACAGGGAGGCGGTTAAAGGAGTCGGCACCCTCAACCTGGATGCCATCCTCGCACTTCTTGCTGAGGTATACTTGTATAAATTTTCTATTTCTTGTTTATATAACTTGCAAGCCGCCTGTAACTAACGTCTGTTCTTTGGCCGAGTGCACTCTATGCTGCGAGTGCACGGTCTTCGCAGGCCCATCAAGGAGAAGACCAAGGAGGTAAAGGCTGCGAATGCTCGCTCCGACTCTTCTCATGATAAGGCTATGTTTCAGATTGCCTAAAATGAAATATTGACGACTGACATACTATATTCACAGGCGACCGCCAACCTGCAGGTCAAGGCTGACTTGGACGCTGCGAAGAAGCGGGTCTCTGAGCTGGAACAACAGGTCAAGTACCTCAAGGCCAAGCTCAAGCCTCTTCAAGAGGCGGAGAAAGAAGCAAGCGGCCTCCGGACTCGGGTGGATAAACTTAAGCAGCGACTGGCTAACCAGGAAAACCAGCTCGCCAAAAAATATACTTCCAGAGCCGAGGAGGAAAAGCTGGCCTTGGTCAAAGACATGATGGACGACTGCAACATCATCATGGAGATGATTTGGGGGGCTCTTTTCCTGGACTCCAGCTATGAAGGTTGGAAGAGTCAGTTTACCGCCTGCACCTAGGAATATATTGCCAAGATCATGGGCCAAGGCCAAGGTGGAGAAGAGGAGGAGGGCGAGTTGTCTGATTCCGCATCCGGGGGGTTGGACCAGGATGATCAGGAGGACGGGGAGGATAATGAAAAAGAACAGCGGTCGACTGGGGACTAAAAGGATGCGGTTGCTGATACTGAACAACCCCCTCCTGCTACTTAAGCTTTCCCTTTTTTATATCAAATTTCCTTCGGTCTACGTGCCGCTTGTATGATTACCCGACCAAGGGGTCGGGAATTATTAACAATCTTAACATTTTTGTTGGTCTTCTGGCCGACTGTTTATATGAATCATCCGACAGTTCTGTCGGATTTTTCCAATTTGCACTTTCCTTTGGATTTTTTCATAATTTTTTTTTTTGGTAAATAGAACATATTATTACCAAAAGGAAAAGATTACAACTTACAAAAAGCTAAGCTGAAATCAACGAAGAAAACCACAGAATACCACAAGACTCGAAGAGCCACACACCCACACAAGGGAAGAGGAGGACAAAGCCACCTTCTATGAAGGGAACACTGGACAACCCAACCCAAACCTGACCTAGAGTATCAACCACCTGGATCCACCTTCTAGGAAGGGTTACCAGAAGGAAGACAGACCAGACAGGCAACAACACAAGAGAGCCCAATAATAAAGCAAGAACCTACATACAAAAGTAAAAATTACAGCATAAGGTTCTGTTTGTCATTGACAGGACATCTACAAGCTACAGAGAACAAAATATCCCTAAAAACCACTTCAACAGGCTTTGAACTTCCTATAAAGATCATAGCATTCCTCTGAAGCCAGATTTGATAAACAGCTTCGGCAAAACAAATTCCCAGCAACAATAATTAACTCTAGACTTCCTGCAGATCTTGGAAATCCAGGATACTTCAACATCAAACCCACTAATATTTCTCTGAACTCCAAACAGCCTTAAGACTTGGAGCCAAACGTTTCTGCTGTAAGCACAGTCAAAAAACAAATGTTGCACTGTTTCTGAAGCCTGATTACATAGAAAACAAATAGGATCAAAAAGGATATTCCATTTTTGAAGCCTGTCCTTGGTAATAAGTCTGTTATGAACAGCTAGCCAGGTGATAAACAGACTTTTTGGTGAAGCCTTAGGAACCTGAACAGTGATGGCCTGATAAAGTTTTTTTAATCTTAATCTTAGTACCCTGCATCACAGTGTCCCAATCACCAATGGTATCAATATAATAGCTCTACATTTCAAAATTTTCTTAAGAACCCATTAGCATTTCTTAGGGGAATGTATATTCCACCAAGGCTTGTTTTTAAAATAGTAAGTATGAACCCATTTTACCCAAAGGCTGTCAATTTTGTGAGCCAAATCCCAGAGAAGTTTAGTAATGGCTGCAAGATTCCACTCATAAAGAGAGATCAAGTTCCATCCTTCACTAACTTTGGGAAGACACACTTGAAACCAGGAGACCAAAGCTTTCTTGGAGGGGTTACACTTCCCAGTCCAAAGAAAGACCCTAAATCTAGCCTCAATTTCTTTCAACACCTTCTTAGGAAGTACAAAAATCTGAGCCCAGTAAGTTTGCACACCAAATAGAACACTTCTAATGAGCTGAAGCCTACCAGCATAAGTCAAATTTCTAGCAGTCCAGCCATTGATCAAAACAGTCACTTTGTCAATCAAAGGTTTACATTGAGCAATAGTTAACTTCTTGGATGACAGAGGGACACCAAGATATCTAAAGGGGATTGAACCAGGAGCAACCCCGATCAAGGCTCTAAGTGTGGCCTGCTCATCAATAGACAAACCCCAAAAATAGACTTCACTCTTATCTAAATTAGCAGACAGTCCTGAGGCCTCAGAAAACTTAGTGAAAGCTTGAAAGAAATGGGAGACAAAACCAGCATCAGCTCTAGAAAACATCAACAAGTCATCAGCAAACATAAGATGAGTAAGAGCCAGTCTCTCACATCTGGGATGATAGTTAAAATCAAGATTGAGATGCAGTTTAGAGAAGCATCTAGAAAGGTATTCCATTCCAATTGCAAATGGGAAGGGGGACATTGGGTCTCCCTGTCTAAGCCCCTTCTTAGCAGAGAAAGGTGCAGTAGGAGCACCATTAATCATAATGGAATAAGGCACTGAAGAAACACATCCCATAACCCAAGCAATAAACTGGCCAGGGAAACTGAGCTCAACCATAGCAGATTCCAAAAAGCCCCATTCAACTGAATCATAAGCCTTTTTTAGATCAATTTTTATCATGCATCTAGGGGTGATGTTCTTGTGACTGTATCCTTTGATCAGTTCAGTAGCAAGAAGGATATTGTGCTCAATATGCTTACCAGGGATGAACCCAGCTTGAGAATCATCAATAATCTCATAGAGAACTAAAGCAATCCTTGCAGTAAAAATCTTAGAAATCAACTTGTACAGAACAGTACAACAAGCAATAGGTCTAAATTCCTTAGCATATGAAGGATTTTAAACTTTGAGAACAAGAGTTACTGTGGTGCAGCTCCATTGCTTCAACAGATTACCAGTTCTTAAAAAACTCTAAGACACCTTCATACACCTCATTCCTCACAAGACTCCAAGATTTCATAAAAAAAAGGGAATTAAAACCATCAATACTTGGAGCCTTTGAATTATCAATCCCTTTAAGAGCCATGTCAATCTCATCAATAGAAACAGGGGCAATAAGAGCATTTTAAGCTTCCCGAGATAGCTGATTTCCTTTTATCATTATACTGAGATCATGCAGGGAAGAGATATAGCTTTAGAGCTAAGAATATTTTTATAGAATCCTGTAAGCTCCTCTTCAATATCAGCAGGGGTTCGGAGAAGGATGTCCTGATCAGTATATAAGGAATCAATCCTATTTCTACTTTGCCTGTGCTTCATAACAGAAAAGAAATATTTATTGTTCCCATCACCTAGTTGCAACCAGTCAACCCTTGATTTCTGTTTGTAAATGCTTTCTTGGATCCCCACCCATTTCTTTACAGCCTCAATAGCTTCCAATTCCTTAACCTGAAGCTCTGTATTGGTCACATCTTCAGAAATTTGATGCTGAATAGAGATAAGGAGGTTATGAGCAGCTTCAACCTTAGCATTAACATCACCAAACTTTTGTGTGTTCAAGCTCTTCAGAGCACTTTTCACTCGTTTCAACTTGTGCCAAACTGTACTCATAGCAGACCCAGAGATGAGAGCTTGCCAAGCAGTTGCAACTGAACTCAGGAAATTGTCATGGTCAGCTAGACAGTTAAGATATCTAAAAGGTCTTCCTTTCCCAGACTGAGAAGGAAGAATATCCAAGGCTATAGGGCTGTGATCAGAATGGGGAGGGGGAAGAAAAATAGCTTCCACATGCCCATACAGGTTAAGCCATTCTTGGTTAACTAAGCCCCTATCAATCCTTGAGCAAGTTCTAGGACCAGAATGCGCCTTGTTGCTCCAAGAATAAGAAGCACCCTTGCTCTTTATTTCAACTAGGGCCAACTCATCAATACACTGCTGAAAATCCCTAGTTTCATAATCAGTGAATGCAGCCCCATTCAACCTATCAGGAGCACCCAGAATGGAGTTAAAATCACCTATACACAACCAAGGAGTAATAGAAACAATAAGCTCCTTAAGACCAGACCATAGCTGTTTCCTGTCCTAGATAGAATGCAGTCCATAAACAAAAGTAACCAAAACCTGAGTCTGCAGATCCTTAGAACACAGCAGACAATGCACAAATTGCTCAGTGGAAGCCAGAATATCAAGATTAAAACAATCGACCTTCCATCCCACCCAAATTCTACCTGAATGAGAGCTAGCATAATTACAATGCCAAGCCCAAGAAGTTCCAAATATCTTGTGAATATTCTTACTCTTATGCTCTTTTACTCTAGTTTCCAAAATACAAACCACATCAGAATTTTGGTCTACAAGTAACTGTTTTAAAACAGCTACCTTCCCAGGGTCGTTTAGACCCCTTATATTCCATGATATAGTTATCATGTTCCTAAAGAGGGATTACCATCACCCTCGATAGGATTCTTATTTCCAATAGAAAAACCACCTTTCTCTTTCATATTCAGCAGCTGGTAAGAGTTGGAAATTCAGGCTAGGGTAGGTGATTTGCCTGTTAGCTTTCTACTTAGATTTCTTAGCAACCACCTGCCACTCCTTTGGTTTTTGAACGTGGGGCTCTGGAGTGATCTCATTGACAGCTGCCATAGCAACTGACTCAGTAGCAGGAACAGGGTTAACTTGTTTTGGGACCCAGGCTTTCTTCTGAGCATGAACCTGATTAGGCTGGTTACTCCCATCTCCTTGTTGTTGGGGCTTAACTTGGTTTTTAGAAGCAGAACAATCATGCCCAACTCTATTACACCCTTTACAAAAGGGTGGATGCCATTCAAACTGATCCTTGAGCTCAATTACCTCCCCTTCTGGGTTTTCAATCCAAACAGAAGATGGAAGAGGTTTTATAACATCAATGTCAACCAAAAGTCAAGTAAAGGATACTCTAAGCTGCTTGGAAGTACATTCATCCGAACAAATTGGCACACCAAGAGTACTCCCAATTCTACTAAGAGTGTTAACACTCCAGCAATTCAAAGGCAAATTAGGCAATTTCACCCAAATAGGAATGGATCTTAAAATCTCAGAGTGAAAATCAAAATTAGCATTCCAAGCTTTGATTATAGCAGGCTTACCAAAAAACATATGTGGACCGATAGATAATATAGTATTTTTATCAATAGTAGACTTAAAATTGATAATGAAATACCCTTCATCATGCTAGAATATGTCTGGTTTATTTGGTTTTCCAATTTTCAGCAATGAATCGATGAACAGCAGTAATGGTGGGAGAATAACCAACTACATAAGAGATTAGAGAATTACCCCATTTCTTGTTCCCATCTGAAAGTTCAGAGGCCTTAAGATTGGCAATAGATTTACCATCCACAATCTGAGGAGCAACAAAAGACAGGGTCATCCCCTTAGCATTCAACTTTTTTTTTGTAAGTCTGTTCTTCATCCACTGGTTCTTGAACCTTCTCAGAATTATCAGCTCCCTTAGAGCTCTAATTTTCCCTAATATCAAAGCTAGCAGAGACAACAGGCATCTCAGAAATCAATGGGCCAGTACCCACTGAAGCCCTAGCTATTGTTCCATTGGAGCTACTCGGTAATTGACCAATTTAGTTTCTATGGAAGCTCTTAAGCCTCCTCAAATCCCCTCTGGATATCATACCAGCTGTCGGATTAACCAGATGAAGAGGAGGAGTAACAAGTTCATCTTCTTCAGTAATCGAATTCGGTTTTGAAGAAATTCCCGATTTCCCCAAATTATTCACTTTTCCATCGATTGAAGCTTGATTAGAGTTTTGCAGAAGTGGTGCTGATTTTTTTTCCTTGCGAGGCATGGTAAAACTCAGAGCTAGATGAAGAAACCAACCTAGCAGCAGGAAGATGCCATGGGAGAGCTAGAGAGAAAAGTCGACGAAAGTCAACACAAGCAAAACTCTATGGCACCTTCACTTGCTCCTTTATGCAAGGCTTTGTTTCACTTTGGATTCAAATAAATTAAGTATACTTTCATTTTGCTAAGTATAGCTTACCTTTTTGTATGAATGCTCTGATCATTTTTTAATATGCCGATTGTTTTGGTATATCGACTGTTTTTGCCATTGGGCGGCTATGTGCCTGGTTTTCAAAGGCTGATGGATTGATTTGGAAATCTTTGATAATTTAAAGAGTATGACTGATTTCTTAGTCAATCAATCACTATGATGATTGCCCCAAACCAGGCGGACAGACGGCCATTGGAAAGACGGTCATACATTCAGCATGATCAGCTCTCAGCCTCAATATAGTTCTTTTAGACGAACCACGCTTTGCTACTAAGTTTTGTACTTAGTTTTTTTTATTGATTGTAAATTATCCGTTTTCTTGGTACCTGCACAGAAACAGGCGCCAAATGGGATGTTTAACCATAGTAGCAACCGCTTGTTGGGTTACAGGCGTAGCTATAATTGTTTCGCTAACCTAAACAGGAATAGTGGCCGAATGTCGTCTGTTTATCAAAAAGAACAGGCAGCTTTGTTCGTACCGTTTAGGTTCCATTTTAGGTTTTTCAGGTCGAGCAACTATGAGTTAACCTTTAGGAATAATCAGTCTTTGTCACCTTGGTTTGAGTAAATAGAAGAAATAGACGACCGTTAGCCACATGTTGTTTCCTCACAAGTGTTAAGCTTTAGACATAGCTTTTTACTCAATTAGCTGCTAAGTATGGAACTTAGCTTATATCCTCAAATTTTTCCGACTGTGTTGCCCCTGAGCAACAACAGTTGGCATGCGACTTAGATATTATAGACTACCGCATGTTTTTAGAGCAGTCGGTAGTCTTTGTTATCTTTGTCTCATTCGATCGGTTCACAAAGCAATGTGCCACCCAAATGGGAGATGCCCTCTGCGACGAATTCACCCAAATGGATGTCGCCGGACGCCTGCTCATGTTAAGGACATACGTATTGTTTTATAATTAAGAATATCTGGCCATAGGCCTCATTTGTTCTTAGTGGAACAACACATAGCTGCTAAGTTTACTAGACTTAGATTATTTCTACTCATGTTGCAGTAGTAGGAGAATAATAAGAAGGTCGTCTGCTTATGGGCAGGCGTCCCTCTCTTGGGGGAATGTGTACAAAGTATTGAAAACGAATAACAAATTTTTATTGATGTGCTTTCATTTAAAAAAAAATTTACAAGTCTTAGAAGTAGCACTTTTTCAAGTTGTCTACATTCCAAGTTTTGGCTAGCTGCCTTCCGTCTGGTGTTTCCAGGCGGTAGGTGCCGCCTCTTATTTCTTCATATATTCGGTAGGGGCCTTCCCAATTGGGATTCATTTTTCCCTGCTCATTGGCCTTACCAGTCGCCTCCATTTTTTACAACACAAAGTCCCCTACTTTCAGGGGCCGCTTGTGCACTCTTTTATTGTAGGCCCTCGTCAATCTTAGACGGTAGATCTCATGGCGCAAGGCAACATTGCCCCTACGTTCTGGGAGTGAGTCCAGTGCTAGCCGCATGGCCTCCCAGTTAGCCTCCTCGTCATATAATATAACTCGAAGAGTCGGCTCATAGTGCTCAATAGGCAAAACAACTTTTGCCCCGTAAACCATGAAAAATGGAGTTTCACTAGTTGCCCCTTTTTCAGTTGTCCTGATGGCCCACAGAACATGCGGTAGCTCGTCAGCCCATAGGCCGCCACCTCTTTCGATTTTCTTTTTGATGCCATTAGAGATTCCTTAGGGACGACCGATTGATGCAAAACAGTGAGAGATTCCTTGGTCTCCCAACCAGTTCTTGAGAGCAAGCGTCTCAAATTGAGGACCATTGTCAAAGACCATAGACATGGGTACCCCATACTGAGTAATGACATTTCTCCAGATGAAGGAGATAACATCATTTGTTTTAATGCCCTAAACTACCTCCGCCTCTACCCATTTAGTGAAGTAATCGACAGCAACCAAAATATACCTCTGTCCGCCTATAGCAGGCGTATACGAACCTAGAATGTCCATGTCCCATTTGGCGAATAGTACTGGGCTATGGATGACCGTCAAATCAGTCGTCGGACAGTGTATGAGCTTGCCAAACCTTTGACACTTGTCACATTTTTTCACCATCTCCATGGTGTCTGCTTCTAGGGTAGGCCAGAAGTAACCTTGCCGCCTAGCTCTCTTTGCTAGGGTCCTGCCGCCAATGTGGGAGGCGCAGAAGCCCGAATGCAAACCTTCTAGGACCTCTCATCCCCTCTCTAGGGGTAACAAAATTCAAAAAAGGTTGGAGATAGCCTTTCTTGAAAAGCTCTTCATTGTGGATTTCAAAATTGGTTGCACGCTTTTTCATTGCGACCATCTCTGGCAGGTATCCGGCAAGGTGGCGTCTATTAAGTAAGCCCGGATGTCGTCCATTCAGGTTGAGCCTCGATCTAGTATTCCAATGGGATCTTCTTTAATACTTCTTTTTTCCATAACTTTCCAAAAGACAGACCTAGGTGTATCACAAGAGGCGGATGATGCAAGTTTGGAGAGAGCATCCGCCTGATTGTTCTCGGACCTGGGCACCTAAGTTTAATGAAATTCATCAAGCGTCCTAGCCTCTTCATTGACCGCCTGTAAGTACTTGATCATAGCCGGATGTGTGGCTTCATAGTCACCATGGTATAGGCTAACAATCAATTGTGAATCAGAACAGGCGTCCACTTTCCTTACCCCAGCCGCCTTACACATGCGGATGCCGGCTAGTAGGGCTTCATATTCTGCCTCATTATTTGAGGCTTGGAACGACGTAGTGCATACTCTTACTTGTCTCCTTTCACGAGACTAACATATGACGCCTGCACCACAATCGTTCAGGGTGGAGCTCCCGTCCACATATACCTTCCAAACCTGTTCAAGGTTTTTAGGATCAGCCGGCCTAGTCATTTCGACAATGAAGTCGGCAAACACCTGTCCCTTCATTGCCTTTCTTGGTTCAAAGGAAATTTCAAGGCTTTGAATTTCAATCGCCCATTTGATCATTCGGCTGGATGATTCCATGGTTGTCATTGGCCGCTTAATTAGTTGGTCTGTGTAAACCACTACCAGATGCGCCAGAAAGTAAGGTTTTAACTTCTTGACTACCATAAAGAGGGCAAGTCCAAAATTTTCAACCATGGGGTACCTCTGCTCTGCATTCTGTAGAACATGACTATTCAGCCAATCAATGAAGTAGACCGGGAGCTGGGTGCCGCCTCTTTCAGCAAGGAGAACAACACTGAGCACATGGTCAGAGACGGTTAGGTACATGTACAACACTTCTTTTGGAAAAGAACTGATCAGCCTTGGCAAAGAGTGCAAGTGTTCCTTCAACTTTTGGAAGACCGCCTCTGCATTCGCGCCCCATTCAAACATAGTTTTCTTCTTGATTGCTTGGAAGAATTAGAGGCACTTGTCGCCTAACCGACTGAGGAATCTCCTCAATGGCGCCAGACAACCTATTAATTTTTGAACTTCTTTTACAGTGCGGGGCGACTGCATGTCTATGACCGCCTGTAGTTTTTCCGGGTTGGCCTCTATCCCCCTTAAATATATCAGAAATCCGAGGAACTTCCCAGACTCAACACCAAAAACATACTTCTTGGGATTGAGCATGACCTGGTGCCGCCTGAGTATGGCGAATGTTTCTCGGAGGTCTGTAAGATGATCCGTCTGTAGTTTGGACATGCCTTGTTCAGGTCCGTGTAATCTACACACATGCGCCAGGTACTATTCGGCTTCTTTACAAGGACAAAATTGGCAACCCAATCAGGGAAGTAGCATTGCCGAATGAACCTAGCATCCAACAATTTCTTTACCTCGGCGACCACAGTGGGTTTGACGTGAGAGAGATAGCACTCCTTAGTCGTCAAAGTGATACTACTGTTCCATCATCCCTTTCAAACTTGAGAAGCATAAGGGAAGGAATGATAACAGCTTTGGATTCATTTAGGGTGGGACGACCTAAAATCATGTTTTAGGCGGTCAGCTCTTCAACAACTAAGAACCGGACCACCAAGTGGCGTCCCTCTCCCTTTTCTCCCAGCCGAATGGCAAGTCTATTAGACCTACCAGATGCACAACTCCGCCCCCAAATCCCACTAAGGGATGAGAGACCTTGTGTATGCTCTCAGGCTTGTA